TAGATAATCTACATGTATGACATAAAGCTACCGTAAAACGTGTTTCCACGACAGAACATGAAGCTAAACACACTCCTGGGAGAGTTGCATTAACACCAGGTGAATTACTTTTATCTGGTAACTTAACAGCCTTTGGTTAGCCAATTAGCGTAGTGGAGCTAACTTAGCTCGTACGGTGGGGAAATAACACCCCGAAAAAAAAGCGCATTTCTGTGAGGCAACGTTAACTTACTGTGCTGTTATGTCGAATCTAACGTCTCTGTCTTCCCAGAGAGCATCTAAAACAGACGCCATGACTTCCCTCGGGTTAGTTTCAGTAACGTTTACAAAGCTAACGTTACCCGACAGCTACATTAGCTTCAACTGGCTAATCTGACAGAGCCTCTGCGGCGTCATAATCACCATGGCAACAGACGGCAAGCCAAGAGGGCAATGTTGTGGGTCTTGTTTCGAAACTTCTGACAAAAACGTCGTATTAGAGACATGTTTGTGACCATTAATATGTTTAAAAGGGTCTACAAGTTTAGGTAAGCATTGGAGTACATGTTAGCACAGTGTCAATACGTTTCTGGTTGCCATAGAGCTTAAAGATAGGTTTTTTTTGGGGGGGGGGTTTGCTTTGTGAGACAGCTGGCCTTCAGGAACCAGCTATAAAACTGTAAATAATAGGACTTTTCCCCCATTATGACTGCAGGGAGGAATGCTCCAAAGTTTATGCAAACTATTAAACCCCAATGGGACTCCTAATTAGTGCGTTATTAAAGGCAGGTGTGCTAGAAAGGCCTAGCAATTAAGATGTTAACACATGTACAGAGAAGAGTAGTTTTAAAAAAAACATTTTTCAATAGTTATTTATGTTGAATTTTCAATAACATTGCATGGGTTTTAATAAAAAAGTTTTTGGCTGTGAAAATATACTTTGTTGATATATTGGGGGCTTTTTTATGCCCTTTTTTTGATAGATAGCCAGGAAAGAGGGGAACACATGCAGCAAAGGGCCACAGGTTGGAATTGAACCTGGGCCGCTGCAGTAAAAAAGGCAACCACTATTATTTTATATTTTATTATTAAAAAACATACAAAACATCTATTCAGATATATACACACTGCCTAAATTGACAGGCCTTTAAAAGATGGAAAAGCCTCAATCTTCATCACAACAAGACATTCACAGTAAACCTCTGAAAGCAGTAGAAAGACAGAAATGGCTCTTTATTACAGCTGCCAGTTATAACCGAATGGACACATTGTAATAACAAACAGAATGCACATAAAAGTATTCAGCATATTTTAGCAAATCATATCAACAAGGTAATCACACTGTATTATTGCTGTCTTGCTAGAAATGTATTCAGTGAATATAAAGCATGTGGCTCTGTAGTTGTCATTGTAAATCCAGGACAGTGAGACCCTGATTTCTTCTGGTGTATCAAGCACAATACAGTTTATTTGAGGTAATAAGTCAGTTTTTGTGGAAGTTAATTTTAGGTCATTAATTGGGTTGAAACAGGAACATGTCAGCAGTTTTCAGGATGACTTTTTTAGCACTGTTTTGCTATTTGATCAGAAAATGCATTTATGTTTGAGGACAAGAGTGTTAGAAAAGTGCATGATATTTTCTGAACATATCTGACAGAATGCATCACATTAAAATAACAAATCAGCAGATTGTAGAGTAGTAAAGTCCTTTTTCTCATGGCATCTTCTCCTTTTATCCTGCTGGAGACAAAACGGTATAATATTCAGAAAATAAAAATAAAACAAAACTGTACACATTTGCTGTTACGGATCTATAAAAGTTACCTGTTCTGAATAGAACACAAGTCTTCTTGCATTCATCCTCTGTTTCGAAACGGTTGTCATTTCCAGCGCAGCCGCCGTACCAAAACTGTGCACAGGCATTGGCCTGCTTGTCATAGTACCAGCTGATGATATAGTTTCTGCAGTTGCCTTGGTCTAAGCTGAGGTTACAGCGTGGCTCAATAGGAGTGGCCTCTGGAGGAGAAAAGTGTGTGAGACGCATGTTTTCTAAAGAATATTTATGTATTTGATGCCTTTTTTACAGCAGATATTTGGACTTGTCATAGCAGGAAAAGCACAAGTGTTACTAATAACATTAATGATGTCTCTGTTCTATCAATGTCTCTGAAGTACTCACCTGCTGGCACGACTGGCCTCACCACGGGCTGCACCTGATTATTGTTTAAAGATGAAACTGAACCCAGTGCTGCAGATGAGGATGAAGATGTAGAAGAGGATGAAGATGATGATAGGACTGCCTCATTGAATGCAGAGCTTTCTCTCACAGGCGATGAAGATGCTGTTTTGTTGACTACAGCTACAGTACTACTGCCCCGCACGTGGGCTCTTAAGTCTAAATCTTCACCTTCATCATCCTCCACCACCTAGAATACAAATAAAAAAAAATATTTAATTGAAAGAAGAGTTCTGTATCATCAGCAAAGAAAATATAATAGTATAGTGCTGCAGGGATGAGGTATTTATATTTTATAATGTTTATAATGGGATTTTTCCCTTGTATTTTGGAGTACTGCTAAATAAACTCTGTGGCAAATAAAGTATTTTTGATTCCTACAAATTTTGTTAAATAGATAGGATACGACAAGATAATCTTCACATATGAACGCCACTTTTATGATTTTTGAAGCGTAAATGCAATCGCCAGAAGCAGAAAGCCAAACGAAGTACACCACATCGCATGACTTCAATGTCACCAACACTTAAATTCCAACTTGTAATTAAATCATGTTATTTGGAAAGTTTGAGTTAGAATGGTTTCCATGAGTGTGAGTATAAACACAACAAGGCTGTAAAGGTGGACTAGTGAGTAGGTAAGTCTCCGTGTTCGGCATGCTGACATTTATTGTCACAGACAACCTCTGTAGTCTCATTTAGCCACTTGTTAGCAACCACCTTTTTTAAGCATATAAAAGCTTCAGAAATTACAGGTGGTATTTTATGTTGTAGAACAAAACACAAAAATCTCTTAAGCTTGCGTTAACCACAGACCTTATTTCAGGCATCTAACCGAAAACCCATTAAAAACCCCCCCCACTAACTTCAAGGAGAGGGAACCGTAAGTGCTAAAACGTTAACTCAGTTCCAGGTTTTAGAGCTCATTTCTGCAGCACTCTATATTGTTCTTTCTGGGTTTTCAGTAAAGACCTGAACAGGAAGAGGATTAGCACTGATGGGCAGTATGAAAGTGTCTCCACGGCCTCGGGTGTTGGTGCGTCTCGGATTTTGGATCTCCTCTTGGTAATTGTAACTATTGCCGTTGTTCCCATGTCCATTGTTACCATAAGCATAACCATTATTGTCATAGCCATTGTATCCATTGGTATTCTCTCCATGTCTATTGTTTCCATAACTCCCATGCCCATTATTGCCGTTCCAGTGTCCATTTGTTATGTGATTGTAAATGAGGGCACCATTTTCATCTTCACAGAACTGGCTGACGAGTTTAGACTCCAGTGCTGGAAAAACAAAATTCAGAAATCAGTTAACTTTCGGGCACTTTACAACCTCTTAGCAAATATAATAGCTATATATTTACAACATCTGACTCAGATTATTACCTGTGAGAGTATTGAAGTCGTCAATGAGGTACATGTGTTCAGTGTCAGGGTCTGAGGCAATGAGGTTGAGTTCTTGCAGGAACTCGGCCTGCGTAGGATCAGAGGAATTGACAATCCCCAGGGCATACATCTCAATGTTTGCAGCGTGAGCTTCCCTCACAGCTATGTCAAGTTTGACAGGCTCTCGTTTGTCAGTCTGACCATCAGTGATGACGATGGCTACTTTTCTGACTCCAGGCCGAGCGCTGTAGAAAGCCTCCTGAGTCGCCTTTCTGATGGCGGTGCCGGTATAGGTGCCCTCGCCCATGTAAGGCATCTTTCTGATTGCCTGCTTAACGTCCTGCTTGTTCACGTAGCGAGCCAAGTTGAACTCCAATTGGACATCCAGACTATAGAGGACCAGTCCGATTCTAGTGGCGTTGCGTCCAACTGTGGTCCGTTCCACCAACCTGGTGACAAAGTCCTTGATGATTTCAAAGTTCTCGGGGCCGACACTCTCTGAGCTGTCGATGACGAACACAAGTTCCATTGGCCTTTCTTTGCACTTGATGCCACATCCTGAAAACAATGAAATATTGTCACTACTTTACTATTGTCCTATAGCTTTAAAGCTGCACTAATCAATATTTTTATTGTAATAATGGAGCAATAAACAATGTGTAGTATGAAAGGGCTTACAGGGATGAACCCTACTCTGCGACTCTAAAGAATCTTTTAGCGTCTTTAAGGTTCATTGTTTTGATTTAATGACAACCAAGCAGCAACCGCTATGACTGGCAAGTGAAGCCAACACAGGAGTGACAAAAAGTTATTTGAATGGCCTCTTGATGCTGGCTACAGAAGTGAGTCGGTCTTCATAAGGTATCATATTAAAATGCTCAACTTTACAGCAGAAATAAACATGTTTACAGGACAAAAAATTATTTTGGTGTCTCTAGCTACATTTTTTCAGTGTTCATTTATTGAACTGTACCAGGAGTGAACTCTCACACTCCATGTTTTTGTCCATTTTTGGATTTACTGGCAGCTGGCAGAGTCAGGACACACTGATCTTCACAACAGCTCCTCAGAAACAAACGGGTGACGTCATGGAGACTACGTCCATTTTTAATTATACAGTCTATGCCTGCGACTGCGACTGTTTTAGTTTTCTCTCATATAGCCTTGTTCCCAGACACAGCAGACTAAACCCCATCATACACCTGCCCATCACCAAACAGCCAAACATTACACACATTAAACTAGACTTGGCTAGTTGTCTTACCACAGATTTCTTTGATCAGCTTAATAATGTCTTCCCTCTGAAAAATATGGGAACATTCATATTAGTACAAAATCACTATCATTTATTGAATCTTCAAACTTTAGTTAAATTCATGAACTTACTGTAAGTCCTGCTTCTCCTTTCACTCCTGGCCTCCCCTGGGATTTGGAAGAAGTTTAAAACAAAATCACTGTTTCTGTAGCATGTTAAATACCTGTATCTCTATCTACTAGGATTGTGATGTAGATTGTTCTCATATACTGCAAATACACACACTCCACATAGTAACTTTAAGGGTCTCTCACATTTTATTTATTCACTTATACAATTATTCTAATTTGTCCTGGTAGTTTAATGTCAAGTAAAAAATAGCTGAGAGCTGTTCATGTGTTTTTTGGTGAGTGATGAAACCTCTTGCTCTCTACAAATACAAGCCAGCAGTATCTTCAAATATTGGCTGTTTGATTGTTTATTTGAGGAAGTGAGGAATAAGAGCTGTTTTGCTTACTGCTTCACCAGGGACTCCAGTATCTCCCATGTCTCCTTTTATGCCTTTCAGTCCCTTTTCGCCCTGTAATCCACGATCGCCCTGCAACAAGGGAAGAGTAATTCAACAGTCAGAGACCGATTAATCAGATATCAATGAAATGGTTAGGAAGATACGTGCAATTCCATCACCTTGGCTCCTGGAAATCCATCTCCTTGAGGCCCTCTTGGTCCAGTCATACCTTGAGATCCTGGCTCACCCTGAAATTAGATTCAAATTTTACTAAATCATACAGGAGCGCTGCACACTCTCTGTGCATCATAAATTATTGTGATCTGCAGCTAGTTTTGTCAGGCAGCTCTATTGTGTAACATGTCTGCACCAATTAAGCATATCATATTGCTTCACTCCTACATGCTGTGGACAAGAAAGTACCAATGTGAATTAATCCTGATTATAAAGAACTTGGTAAGTGCTTGAAGGACAGCGTTTACGTAAAACAGTTGTGACATTTACCTTTGGCCCTTGAATACCTTCTCCTGGAGGTCCAGTTGGACCAGGAGGTCCTTGTCTCCCAACATTACCCTTAAAACAAATGTTTAAAGTCATCAGACCACTGGTTTATAAAAAAAATAGTATCATAGTACAACTTTGTATGTTTAATTTATGTTTAATATATTAGCTTTGATTCAGATTTTAACATTGCTGTTGCTGTTTATTAGATAATCTTCCTTACAGGTGGTCCTTGTAAACCCTCTCCAGATGGGCCGGGCAAACCTGGCAATCCTCTAAAGCCAATGTCACCCTGAAACAGACATAAAATTATGAGCATCTCAATACATAAACACACAAAAACTGACAAACAAACAACCTTAAAAAACATGTAGGCACAAACCTTGGGACCAGGAATTCCTATTCCTTCTACGCCCGGCTCGCCCGGTAAGCCTGGCATGCCTGGAGGACCCTAAAATAAGTACATAAAAGGTTCAGACAATGCTAACATGCACAGGATTTACTGGTTACAGAATTTTAGTATGTGCAAAATATTCTTGATACCAACCAGAGGGCCGGGGAGGCCTTCTCCTTTTGGACCACCTGGACCCGGTAAACCCGGATGACCGCGATCACCCTGGTTAAATAAAATGTAGTGATGAAAACCAACAACAATATGCAGATTAGAAAAATGTTATCAATAAAAACATGCAGTGTTCTTAATTGTTTACCTTTGGACCAGGTAATCCATGGCCTGTCTCCCCAACAGGACCAGGGGGACCAGCGGGACCTAAATCACCCTGGAAACAAACACAGAGTTGAATAGGCAGAACTATTTTTTAGATATGTTTCCTCATTACACTCTATCTGGCAGTTCTTCTGACTTGGCACCAAGGTTGTCTACCTCAGTGCCAAAATCTATGTTAAGAGACAGTTTGATGATACATTTTTATTTATTTACCTTTGGACCTGATATAGACCGTCCTGGCTGCCCTGGCATGCCCAGATGGCCTGGTATCCCACGTTCACCCTGAAAGGTGAGAGTTGGCATGAGACGTAAGATCTAATTCATTCTTGTCGTTATTCTGACAATACTTGTGCTGCCAACAACATGCAGAGGACATGTCCTGTCGCTCTATTCAAAGGTTGGGTTTATCTGGCATAAATCTTCAACAGCAAGGTATTTATCAAAGAATAAAGACGCTACTTATACTACTTCATCAAGAACGCACCACAGTTAAATACTTGTTTGATTCGTTTTTACCTTTGGTCCAGAGGGTCCTGAGATCCCAGGAGGCCCATGTAACCCACGGATGCCCCTCAGACCCTGGTCACCCTGGGAGGGATGACAGCACACATTCAATTTGATTTGTACAGTGCCAAATCATAACAGAGATTATTTCAGGACACTTTGAAAGAGAGCAGGTGTAGATTGTACTCCTATAGAGACCAAACAATTCCTGCATCATCTGATTAACATTTGTTGTCATATGAATTCTGAACTACACAAGGATTTATAATCTAAAGCATACCTTCTCCCCTTGAATGCCAATTCCTTGTGCTCCTTCAGGGCCTCTTAAACCAGGTAAACCAGCCTCCCCCTAAGAGAGGAAAGGTAGATGAGACATAGAAACAATCCTTTTTTAAATCATGTTTTTTATTGTAAGCCAGTAGATAAAGGAAACAACAGTAGAGTTCAGATACTACAAAAAGAAATTGGAAATTGGGATTTGAAGTGGAAGTTTTTCCCAGAGCTGACATAATGTACTTTACCTTCTGCCCTGGAGCTCCATCCTCTCCTGGAAGACCGGGCAGGCCACCCAGACCAGACGCTCCAGGCTCTCCCTGTAACAACAGAATAGCATTATTTGATTTTTGATGGATTCAGCACATTGGCACTCCCCATTTGCTAATATAGATCATGACCGAATTAATGTGTGTGGTTCAGACATGCGATGTATTACCTTTGGACCAGGCTCACCAATGCCTCTCTCTCCTGTAGTTCCCTGCTCTCCTGGTAAACCCTGGTCTCCCTAGAAAATAACAAAAAGACATAGGTAATTATAAAAAAAAATGTAACAAACCTGCAAAGTATGGACTTGCTTGACATGTTGTTTGTCTAGTTGGCTGCAATTTGAAATGTTAATATTGTGGAATATATAGTTTTTTACAATATATTGTTTACAATAACAATGTTGTATCCATATTTTATTAAATCTAAAAATGATATCAGCAATATTATAACTGTAGAAACCAGCCTAAACACTAAAACCCTATATACAGCTGATTTACAGTAGCTGTGTAATTTGAGTTCTTCATGCTTATAACAAACACTTTTTGATTCATCCTGCTTCACAGTGAAGTGAGAGGACAGTGTTAAAAGGACAATTGTAAAACTAGATTTACCTGGAATCAAATTCAAACCTTTGTCTGTGTGAGGTGGTAATGTTTATGGAAACCATTGTACCAGCTCTCTGGCCACACACACACAAGCAATCTTACATTTCATTTCATTAACAAACCTTAGGTCCAGGTAAACCCTCTCCTGGAATTCCTCTTCCTCCTGGTGGACCCCTTGGACCCTCGACTCCCTGAGCAGGATTAAGGATTAGCGGGCTTTCAGTGCAGAGTGTCTTACTACTCTATGTATATATATATATAT